AAGGTGCTTTGGGACACCATCCAGACTAGTGATTATGCTGTCCGAAAGAGCATCTTTTACTACGACAAGTCCGCTCAACCAGATTACCCCTATCAAGCCAACACTGATTGGGGAAGTTGGACGTCGTGGAATCAAAAATCCGCGTATGCCATTGATCGCGCCTATGACTATGTGCATGTCGCTGCAGCTTATTGGTCGATGTACCGTGTTGCGAGGGCCTATCCAAGCCTTGTAAAGAGTCACGAATGGGACTGGTATCTGGGGCAGGCGCACAAGACGGTTATACGAGCTACGAAATCCGACGTTGGGTACAATCGAGTCGGATTGATGGGTGAAACTGTCATTGGCGAAATTTTGACGGATTTGACACGTGAAGGCCGGGACTCTGAAGCTTCGGCTCTATCCGCGGCGATGAAATCCAGGGCGACGCAGTGGAATTCGGAAGAAGTTCCCTATGGAAGCGAGATGGCGTGGGATTCAACAGGGCAGGAGTAAGTACCCAGTCCCCTTTAACCGGCTCTTAGTAGCCATGATTGAAGGAAATGATTTCTGATACCTCTTATATGAGTATTTGACAGATTAGAGCTGACAGATGAGTAATTAGGGGTGTATACTACTGGACAAAGTCAGTACAATCCCGCCGATCATCGAGGTGATGAGTACTCGCGCCAAACACTGAACACTGACAAGGTAACAGACATTTCGGATATATGAGCACGATGACAAAGACTGTCAACAGTGTGCTTGGATTTATGCCAACGGTACCACATTGGGGCTGGGATGGCAATGCCCGACGATACTGGGACAACATTGTAAGCAGCAAGGGTCCCATCATTGTGTCCATACTGATCTGACTGTCATTACGAAAAGTACGGAGGAAAACTCCAACGAATTGAGCGTCAGATCCATCACTACGGTTCAGGACTCAACGCGCTCGTTCTACTTTCAGCTTTCCGCAGCGACCCATCCGACTCCTACCTGTTGCGAGTTGGTTACGCTGGCATCAGCGGTCCCCTTTCCAACATCAACCAAGACGGTTTCGCAGCTGCATCCTTCCACTCTTGGCCGGATACGCTGAAGTGGGATGGGTACAGTGGCGATTACGGCCCAGGTTTCTTAGGCATGGTCTTGGGTTCCGGAACATATGTAGCCCAGCACAATACGCTGGGCTTGTTAGCATATGGTGGTACGATTACATCGTCGGACGATGAAAACAGCGTTCATGTCACAACCCACGGGCCTATTCGACGTAGAGTGTTTATCGGGCCCTTGAGCGTATTGATCACGACGGACGCCGGCAGCATCGATAGCTTCGGCTATACAAGTGATGGAAGCAACGTCTCCCTCGTTCTGACCCAGCAGAGCAGCAGCCCATCTTCTAGCTCTGCAGTAGTGTGGGTTGAGACGACTTCAGGATCGGTCGAATACATAGTCTCAAGTCCTGCAGCTACTCAGACACGCCTAGGATGGGCAGTTCCCTTATCGCCAAGTGCGGTGACGGTCCAATTGATGCGGGCTTCTTGAACGAGCAAGTAGTATAAACCGGGACAATGTATTGATCTATAACTATTAGTAACACTTGGTTTATTTTTTACACTACATGTCATGACAGGGACGATTTACACGTACATCTATTGTGATGTTAATTCAGTCAATGCCCCATGCTTCTATTAGTCCAACTCTGAGGAACTTGCTGATTCAACAAGATATTTTACTTTGGTATTCAGAGCTACATTCTAGGTTCAACAAACATGAAGCACTTGATGGAAGAGAACATTCTTTGCAAAGTATCTAGCCACACCAAATATTGCCAGGCTGAGCTCCGTTGTACTATCCACCAGCAACAAACCCAAACTAACTCCAATACAAAAAACCGTTTGGTATGCGATCCGGAACGCCGCCCACCGTGGTCAGAAGAGCATCATTTTTGCATGATAATACATAATGAGAGAGTAAGGAAATTCGAAGGTAGTCATCTATTTCTTCGACTTCTTCTTGCTCTTTTTCTCAGTATCATCATCATTGTGCTTCCGCTTCTTCTTTGACGATTTATCGGCTTCGACTTCAGCGTCGTCCGCTTCTGCAGCGGCGGCCTTGGCAGCTTTGGCTTCCTCCTTCTTCTGCTTCTTGATATCCTTCTTGCTGATGACTTGCGGAGAACCGTCAGATCCCATCTTCACATCGCCTCGCTCAAACTTGCGCTTGAACTTCTTAACTGAGATGCCAGCCTCGTCTGCTAAGCGAGCATAGTCGGCTTCGGTAAGTTTGCCGCTTGGGGTAGCGGGGGTAGATGCTTCCTTCTTGCTTGCCTTCTTCGCCTCCCTTGCTGCGTGTTTGCGAGCCTCCTTCTCCTCATGGCGCCTCGCTGATCGGTGGATAGCCGCGTCTGCTTCGTCTTCGGATTCTGACTCGTCGCTGTCACCATCCGCCATCGGCGTGTCTTCAACTTCTTGTATTAAAGGTTTTGAGGGGGTCTTGTTGGGTTCGGAGATGGGGGCATCGGCATCGGCATTGTAGTTCCGCTTGGGTTTCACTTCGAACTTGGAAGGAGTGGCACCAACAGGCGCGATCTTGGCGCCTCTGGAGACGAGAGGCTTGCCTTCTAGCTTGCGTAGCTTATCCTCAAGGTTGGCACGCAGTCTGATACCCATGTCGGCTCTCTCATCGTCATCAATCTCGATATCAGCTCCATCGATGCCTTCGTTGCTGAGATCCGAGAGCGCATCTACGCGGAGGCATAAAGCAGCCTTGGCAGCAAGCATACGAGCGATCTTTCCCTTGTTCTTGCCGGTGGCCTGTCCAACAAGCGAAGAGTGGTAAATCAGACCGTATTTGGGAGTGTCGTGCTTGGTCTTGAGAGCACGGAAAAGTGCCTTCTCGGCACCAAGGACCTGGATGGTACTACCAGGACTCTTGGCAAGCTTCATGAGCGAGCCGGTATGGGCGATGAGACGAGCACCTACAAGCTCGCCGAGAACCTCGGTGGTGTTGGGGGCAAGAGCCTTCATGCGAGATGTCAAGTAGAGAGAGAGCTGCTGTCTGTATTCGGTGAAGCTGATGACCTGTTCGGCCAGCAACTTGATGTTGTCCAAGTCGATGCCACCGATCTCAGTACCCATACTGACCTCGGCAGCGGCCTTGACTCGGGTCTCCAAGTCCTCGGGCAGTATCTCGGAGAGGTCCGTGTTAGCGGCGTTCTCACGGATGCCCATGTGTTCGATGACACGGGCGTAGGCCAGATTGTCGTTGAGAATGCGGTCCAGCTCGGGGAAATGCCAGCCGTACCATTCCTTGACTCTCATGGCGTAGTTGTTCAGCTCCTTGTCGAGGTCATCGAGTAGCTTGATGGCCTGTACGATCATGATGTCGACCTTGTCGGGAGAGAACTTGATCTTGTGGCGGGAGATGGAGTGGGACAGGGCCAGGGCCATGTTGCCGAGGTAGTCGGAGTCGAGCTCGGGGAATAGTTCGGGGAGGTAGGTCTTGATGGCTCGGAACAGGTCGTTGGTGGTGGAGTCGGAGACGGGGGAGATCTGAAGCTCGGGGAGAACATTAATCGCGGCACCGAGCTTGGGATCCGCCACAGCAATCGACGCCTTCCTCTCTTCCTTGATGTCGTCGAGGAGTTGCTGGAGGAGAGGGGTGACCTTTCCTTCGGTCAAGGAGCTGTATTCGCTGAGAGCCTGGGCCGAGTCCTCGAACTTGACCATCTTCCGCAATGACAGCCTGTGCAGCAGTGCATCATCCGGGTTAGCGAGCTGCCGCGCATCCATTGGGAGGGCTATAGTGGTGATGAGGCCTGGAATGGGAGGGGACTCACATCGAGTTGATGGCCTCGGCGCTGGAGAGCTGCTCGGCGATGTCATCGCGGGAGAGCAGCTTCTTGTCCTTGGCCTTGAACAGACCGTAGCTGCACGATACCGTTAGCTCTGCCTCAATGTCAATCAGTGCAGCTTCAGGAGAGCTCACCCCGCGGGCGTTTCGGCAAGTACGAAGAGAGGCATGACTGCAGGATGCGTCTGATGTCGATGCTTGTCCCTGCGCAGCTTCCCTGGTGGTGGAGGGGATGGTGGTTCGCCAATTGGGATGTTGCGACCGGGAAAATAGCTGAGGTGAAAAGCTTCCTGCAGACCAGTCCAATCTTTTTTCTAAGGTCAAGTTAGAAAGAAAATTTCGGAGCTGATTGGAGTGAGGCTGGTGAAGCTCGATAAGAGTGGATCATATGTGGCTGGTGCTGGGCTCCTCCTGCATGACACGAACTCTGTCCGGCTTAGTCCCAAGACATTGTGGGGGAGGGAGCTGTTCTTCCCCTGGCCTGGACGCCATTGTCCACTGGGATTTCAAGCAGCGGACCTGTCCAGCCTGTCGAGCTCCTGCGCTTGTGAACTTTGCAAGTTAAGTCGCCAGCACAAAGAGCAACATTCGCAATGGCTGATAGGCAAATACCCAACGTTGATAGGACTGTATCATTGTGGGCACAATCGATATTTTTTATGTGCAGCTTCAAAGTTTTGTATTACATGCAACCCCTTCCGGCCTGAATCTGCTTGTGACCGCATATTCCTGAAAGTTGTACATTTGCCAGTGGTGTCGGCCACCACTGACAAAACCACCGACTAACTGTACCTAGGTATCTGATCAGAGTTCTCTTTTTGAGTCAGATACACCTAATGCTCACCTGCCCCTGTCAGAGTTGGAAGTCATACAATTGTGACATCATTTGGAGTCTTGACAAACCTCTATTAGGCAAACAAAGAAGAGTGCGCTATAAGACAGACAATTCTCTGCAATTTCGGCAGCACAAGCAAGTGTCCTGGAATTGTTGTTATAATCTCAGCATACCTTAGTTAGTTAGTTGCCTGCCTGCTTCTATGGATGTTCACTAAGGGGATAGTGGCGCTACAAGTACAAATCTAAATCATGACTCGGGAGTGTTATGCTATATATAGTACTCTATAACGCCAAATCTTTAACAACAACGAGAGCGAAGACACTGAAGCGCGGGGATAGCTCAGTTGGGAGAGCGTCAGACTGAAGTAATACTTCATTCAATTCATTAAATCTGAAGGTCGTGTGTTCAATCCACACTCACCGCATCTATTTTGTCTTTTGCCATATACCGGCCGATCTGCTGCGTGCTCCTTTTCTAAGATGCTCGCCAGTTAGGTTGAAGGGGTGGGTGGTGGCTGCTCCTGATTGCCACTGACTGTTATACAATGAATCAATGGCTTTAGTCAATGAAACAGGAGACGATGGATGGATGGCCATTTAGAGAAGATACTTTCGGAATTTGGGTCTCAACCAACATCTATTATTCAAAGGCATTGATTAGTTATGGTTGATGTGCCGATTTATTCAACTCTATCTAGTCCAGGTCTTGGATTCCTAATTCGAAGAACGTAATAAATCAGTGGCATTGATTAGCTAGCTCTTGATAAACAATTCACGGAGTTGACTATGAATAGACAACCACCCTATCGATCATGGTCGGTTGTCCGGCTTTTGCTTAGTTCTTAAGCAATATGTCCTATCGTGGTTTAATCCTTATCAAGTCGTCTGACGCGAGACGAGACGCTTGCCCTTTCCTTGCACACAGTTATATATACATATTAAATGCAGTGATGTATGTATACACAGTTGTTTTACCACATGAGCGGAAAACGCGGAATACGACTGGCCCAACAACACTACCTCACATGGCCGGCCGTCGGCATGACTAAGTCCCGTCCTGCCGGAGCGGCGACTATTTCGAGCTCGCCGACTGAACCTTATCAACTAGGCCACGCATACGCAACCCACGGTCGAGCATGTGCGCAGATGAAAATACCTGCCCGCCACAAGCACAAAAGCGTGGGCAGAAGCACTGCCATGGAGCAGTCGTTTCCTCCCTCACCTCACAAGTGAACCTTCAAAACTGCACTTCCATCATCACGGCCACAGCCCTAATACGACTGCCATGGCGAGCCCCGATAACATGGCCCTCAACTAAGCAATATGTCCTATGACATCATGTTTTATAAGAAGATTAATATCATTAGTTAAACTTAAAGTTTTGAGATTCCATAACAAGAAAAGTAAGCCTGTTATAGAACAAAAGTATAGGCATCCTTAATTACCTCTAACTCCTACTTAAATACTTACTTGAATACTTGATTGATACTTTCATCGCCGAAAACAGCAGCCATGCCAGATTTGTCCTACATTCCTTTCAATCGCCAATAACGAAGCTCCCCCTACTTTGTACGGTCATTGGCTCAGGACTTCGATGAATATCTAAGCTTAAGATGACTCCCGGGATAACAGAGATGTTGCCGATGGGCCTAGTTAATATTGGATGCGAGCTCTCAGGGGGATTCTGCGCTGTCAGTACCTAGACGAGTGTACCTTGAGATCCAAGGTCCTCAAGCATGGGCGACATCTCAGGCAAATACGAGTCGAGGGGTCGCTGCTGGCCGCATCTTGTCTTCGTTTTACATCGACGAAAGCTATAATGTCTGATGTACCTAGGTAGGAAAATGACGAATGCCGGGCACATTTGCTCGCATTGGTACCAAGACTCATGATACTCATTTGCCTTGGACCTGATTGCAAATCGCTTAGACCAACATCTGGATCATCGCTAGGGCCATAGGATTCGACTAAGACTTGCCGGCGAGAACGGTATGTACCAACTGTTTTTAGTGGAATTCGCGGCGAATGGAACAAGGAGGATACTTACTTCCTTACGCAATAAGACTGTCTAGCTTAGTCACTACATATACTATGAGTAAAAGAAGCATTCGTGACATGGAGATCTGATCCTGCCTAAACAACTCGAGGTCGCAGTCATCGAAGATTCCTTCGATACAGCTATAAATCACATTCCAGCGACTAATATTTCGCTAGCCTCATTCTAAGGTGTTGAGATAACCTTGCCACATTTATGTCTATCTATACTGGTGTTGCTTGACACAACGCTAGCTAGAGAGCGCGTCAACGTTATCACAGCTCCGTAGATTTATTCGGTCGCCACCTACCTACCCATCCACCATCATCTATCCATCAGTAGCATCGTTGGCAAAAAGAACGATGCGGTGAGTGTGGATTGAACACACGACCTTCAGATTTAGTGATTGAAGTTTGACTTCAGTCTGACGCTCTCCCAACTGAGCTATCCCCGCCTATAATTTTTAGTGTTGGATTTAAATAATATTAATATCTTAACATAATATTATATAGTGCTACTGGAGAAGAATTCACTTCCCTAGTCATTCTTGTAAGGTTAGAAATAAGTAAGGGTATATAATGTATTGTTTAGCATACCTAGGGTAGGTATTGTATTCCTTAGTTTAATATTGCTTTTATTTTACTAGCTAGGTTAACTCGAGACCGATCAGAAATCCGTTGCAGCTTTACGGTGTCTGCAGATACCTAGGTAGTAGTAAGCATTAATTCAGGGAATTTTACGGCGGGATTACCGTACTTATTGAATCTAGACTGCTTCGAGGTTTATGCACAGAATTTTATGAAAGGAGTGAGTGGGGCGCTGTCAGGGCACTGGAAACGACACATTGCGCAGTGAATGATTCAATGTTGATTGATTAGTCGGTGCTACCCGAGACTGGCCAGGTGCAACGACACTGAATGAACGTGGTCGCGTCACTCACCCTCATTCAACCCCGTGCCTCGCCTCCAACCTTGAAGCTGCCAACCCGCTTCAGCTTGACCGTCTCTAGTTAGGAGCTTTACTGCGTCCCGACCCGAGCTTGCGCTTCCGACCCCGTTACTGCCATGGCCACAGTCGCTCTCACCGTCCTCTAAGCTGCACTACTTACACCGACACCGCCGCCGACCTCCTGTTGTCATTGCTCCAAACCGCAAATCGCCTGCACCCGACCGACATGAACGGCCACTTTGCTAATGTCGGCGATGCGCCCGACAAGGCGCAGTACGGCCATGGCGTCCAAGTCATCGACGAGGACAAGGAGTTCAAGTGCGCTCGTCCCTCTCTCTTGAGCCTCCTCTCGTCTGAGTATCCTGGCTGACCTTTGTATGCGACCACCCACAGCTCCCACCTGAGCTCCTACCTCACAGCCACCGACGTCGCCGACTCCGGCTTCAACTACCACCTGATATCCGTCTTCGGCTCCCAGTCCACCGGAAAGTCCACCCTGCTGAACAACCTCTTCGGCACCGAGTTCAACGTCATGTCCGAGACCGAGCGCCGCCAGACCACCAAGGGAATCTGGATGTCCAAGAACAAGACCACTACCATGACCGACAACATTCTTGTTATGGACGTCGAAGGCACCGACGGACGTGAGCGTGGCGAGGACCAGGACTTCGAGAGGAAGAGCGCCCTGTTCGCCCTGGCGACGAGCGAGGTCTTGATCGTCAATATCTGGGAACACCAGGTTGGTTTATATCAAGGTGCTAACATGGGTCTGTTGAAGACCGTATTTGAGGTCAATCTGCAGTTGTTCCTCAAAGACAAGCAGTAAGTGCTGGACCAAGGCCAGCAGCAGGGATGCAAAGCTTCACCGGGCGCTGACTTCTTTTCTTTAAGGTCTACTCCGAGATCCTTACTATTCTTCGTAATCCGTGATCACATTGGCAACACACCGCTAGCCAACCTCCGAAACACCCTGGTCCAGGACCTTACCAAGATCTGGTCGTCATTATCTAAGCCACAGGGTCTAGAGAACTCTCGCATCGAGGATTACTTCGACTTTGGTTTCGCTGCGCTACCACACAAGATCCTGCAACCCGAAAAGTTCGTCGACGAGGTGAAAAATCTGGGCAAACGATTCGTCGCTGGCAACCGCAGCGCCAAGCATTCACTCACCAATGGCGAACAAGAACTTGACGGCGGGGTCTTCCTACCTGAGTACCACCGAAGAATTCCAGCCGATGGTTTCTCCGTATATGCCGAAGGTGTCTGGGACCAGATCGTCAACAACAAAGACCTCGATCTACCTACACAGCAGGAACTCCTCGCTCAGTTCCGCTGTGACGAGATCTCCCGAGAAGTGCTCATCACATTTGACACCACCATCGGGCCGCTCGAGGAACAACAAGCGGAAGCTTCTCGTATAGGAAAGTCGCTTGTTCTGGCAGATCTCGGCGAGACCGGAAAAGACATCAGGGGAAAATGTGTCAAGGCTTTTGAGATACAAGCTGGTCGATACCACAAAGCTGTGTATGCCCGAAAACGGGGAGAGCTCGAAGGCAAGATTGACCAGCGATTAAAGGCTCTCTACCAGGGACAGCTCACAGCGGCGCACAAATCAGGTGTAGCTTCCTTTAGTGACGCTGTCTCTGGTGAGGTCAAGACGGGCCAAAAGTCTGGAGCTACTTATGAGTTCGCAGAGATCGTCGCCACAGAAAAGGCGAAGTGTTTGGAACAGTTCAAGACCGAGGTCACCTATTTGACGATTCCCGAAGTGGCATGGACCAACTTTAGCTCGCAACTTGCGCTATTCGAAAAAGAGCTGGACGAAGTAAGCGCTCGGTTGCGAAAGGAAGAGATGCGCAGGCTTGCTACTCGCGTGGAGCGATGGGTCAAATCGCGACTGGGCGATGCTGTGGGTCTTGAGTTCAACAAGCTTGGTTCCGGTAGAGCTGGATCAGGCGCCCCAGAAGAAGGGGAGAAACCGTCCACGGAGAAGGATCTATGGGATCGCATCTGGAACGTATTCACTTCCATTGTCAAAGAAGCGGAGAATCGCTTTGTCGATCGGGCTACGAGCTTCGAGGCCAGCGTATCCGAAGTTGAGGTTGGGCTTTGGCGTTTGAGGCGCAAGAGCTGGGTTGCTCTGAGAGAAAAGGTCGACGAAGAGGTCATGGAGGGCAACATCCTACTCAAGCTCCGCGAAAACTTCGAGGACAAGTTCAGATACGACGACGCTGGCGTTCCGCGGATATGGCGGCCGGCGGATGATATTGAGGGTATATACACCAAGGCAAGGGAGTCAACTCTCACGCTTGTGCCCCTGCTTTCCAGATTCCGGCTTTCCACTACACTGTCCCCACCGGATCTGATTACGTTTATCGGTCATCAACCTGCTGGCGTTGAGGCCGAAGATGAGGATGACTTGACGCCGATTGGCGGCGTTGA